AGGACAATGCTCCATCACACGCGTCCAAGTACTCCACAGCGTGGCTGGCAAGAAAGGGTATAAAAGAAGAAAAATCTAATGACATGGCCTCCTTGTTCACCTGATCTGAACCCCATTGAGAACCTGTGGTCCATCATCAATGTGAGATTTACAAGGAGGGAAAACAGTACACCTCTCTGAACAGTGTCTGGGAGGCTGTGGTTGCTGCTGCACGCAATGTTGATGGTGAACAGATCAAAACACTGACAGAATCCATGGATGGCAGGCTTTTGAGTGTCCTTGCAAAGAAAGGTGGCTATATTGGTCACTGATTTGTTTTGTTTTGTTTTTGAATGTCAGAAATGTATATTTGTGAATGTTGAGATGTTATATTGGTTTCACTGGTAATAATAAATAATTGAAATGGGTATATATTTGTTTTTTGTTAAGTTGCCTAATAATTATGCACAGTAATAGTCACCTGCACACACAGATATCCCCCTAACATAGCTATAACTAAAAACAAACTAAAAACTACTTCCAAAAATATTCAGCTTTGATATTAATGAGTTTTTTGGGTTCATTGAGAACACGGTTGTTGTTCAATAACAAAATTAATCCTCAAAAATACAACTTGCCTAATAATTCTGCACTCCCTGTACTGCGGTAACCCTAAGTAGATAAAGATGTTCAGACTTTAAGATGCCATCTTGACCTAAGTCAGGGAAATTTCCATGACGTGTACACCCTTTAGTTATGGATTTGTATTTTAGCCAAGTTAAGGGAGGTCCTAAAATGAATAAAAGTACAATAAGTTACTTTTTCATATATGAACTACGGTGACCCTAAAATGAAAACAACCTATTGTCAGTCCATCGCCGCCCATGGTCTCCCCTCCTCTTACCTGTCAGCGAGCGGCGTCTCCTCTCCGCCGCTCGCGTCCTTCACGCCTCCCAGCGGCTGCATGCTGGGAGGTCGCTGATTTATGCAAACACCGGGGTCACGTGAGTGACCCGGCGTTAAAGAAACAGTACCACAATCACAGTGGGAGGCATAGATATCCCCCACGTGTGATTGTTAATTCTGATTGGAAGTTATCCAATCAGAATTAAACCAAGGGTATTTATACTTACCTTTCCTGTCTCTCAGTGCCCTGTTGTGGTCTTGTGATACCTGTAGTGCTGTTCTCTCGTGTTGCTCTCTGGTCTATTTGGCTCGTTATTTCGATTATCCTGTCTTCTCCTCTCCTTTGACCTCGGCTTGTTTCTCGTTCTCCCGTTTTCTGGCTCCCTTTACTTGGCTTGTCTCCTGACCATTCTTAGTGTGCTTAACTCGGCCACTCTAAGGACCGGTATAGCACCCTTCCTCTCTGTGACCTGTTAGCGTGTTAGGTTCCGGAATCGTGACATTACAACAGGGCCACCATGGAACCTGCTGACATCCCACAGTTGTTAGTAAATCAGGAGGCTAGAATAGATGGTTTTCTCAGGCTTTACAAACCATACTGGCTCGTACTGCCCACTTGCAACCTGCCATTCAAGAAGCTGTTGCTGCTGTGCCAGGACCCATTCCTGATCCAGTACCCGCTCCTGCTCACGTGGTTCACATGACGCCACCTCAGCGCTATAGCGGTGATCCAGCATTGTGCCGTGGTTTCCTCAACCAAACTGATATTCATTTGGTGATGAATCCTCGTTCCTACCCCACTGACAGAACCAAAATTGCTTTTTTGATCAACCATTTGTCCGGGAAAGCTCTAGCATGGGCTAATCCCATGTGGGAGAATACGTCCCCAATGTCCTTTGCAGACTTTTTAACAGCTTTTAAACATACCTTTGATCAACCCGGCCGGGTTGCTTCTGCTGACAAAGCTCTGCTTAGGGTCCGACAGGGTAATAGATCTGTAGCGGATTATACCATTAAATTCCGCACTCTGGCAGCTGAAGTGGTTTGGAATAACGACGCTCTCGTAACAGCTTTTCAGGAGGGTTTGGCCGCTTACATATTAGACGAAATAGCATCCAGGGAATTGCCTGTTCTTCTGGATGATGTAATAGATTATATCATTCTTATTGACAACCGTATTAGAGAGAGGCGTAGTCAAAGAAGGATGAATACACAGGGGTTACCTGCTTTACCCAGTACTGCATTACTAGCATTACCTCCCCCTAATCAACCACCTCCCGAACCCATGCAATTAGGTGCTGTAGGCTTATCTGAAGCTGAAAGAACGTACCGCAGAAGGGAGGTCTTGTGCCTTTATTGTGGAAAGAGGGGGCATCTCCGAAGAAACTGTCC